GGGACAAGCCCTCCTTGCTCTTTGCCTGAGCCAAAACCACATCAGCAAGAGCACCAACAGGTGGAGTGGTGCAAGAAGAGGGGGAGCAAGACACAGCCTCATGTCCCCCTTGGTCACACACAGGAAGAGACACGTGGACATCACTTAGGCTGAGCACCCTGGCAATGGAAACATCACCTGGGGTGGTTGTAGGTCTCATCACTCTGGAGAAATGTCATTGCAGCCTTCCAGTACGTACAGGGGTTTATAAAAAAAGAGGAAGGATAACCTTTTAACACAAGCAGATAGTGAAATGAAAGAGAAGAGACTCGCTTAGATATTAGGAAGAAATTCTTTACTAAGAGGGTGGTGAAGCCTGAACTGACTGTCCAGAGAAGCCGTGGCTGCCCCATCCTTGGAAGTGTCCAAGGCCAGGTTGGATGGGGCTTGGAGCAATCTGGTCGAATGGAAGGTGTCCCTGTCCATGGCACAGGGTGGAATGAGATGAGATGTTTGGTCCTTTCCAACCCAAACCAGTCTGGGATTCCATCATCTGCAACATCTGCTGAATGTGAAGAAAAGCTGAAGACACCCCCATCACAAGTCATGAATAGTCCAAGGTGTTCACCCCTGCCCTGTCCTCTCCTGACCATCACCAGCCTGGAAGACCCTTTGCAGTCCTGGTGGCCTCCATCCCTCCTTCCATCCTGCTCAGCTGAGCATGGCTGTCCCAGCTCCCAGGCTGGGAGATGAAGTCTCAGTGCTCTTAAACACCTGGAGGTATAATGAGCACTGCAAAGGAGTGAAGCAGGGTGTTATGTATCCAACCAGCCTGAAATCTCATTTTCTCCCTGGGCAGAATGACTGGGGCAAAGGTTGCAGTGGTGAGCTGTCACTCCAGTGCCAGCTGTCTGCATGAGCACTGCCAGGTATGGCCACTTGTCCAGCACCTGGATCAAGATTTGTTTCAGCAGTGCTACACACTGCTTGGTGTGAATGGCACTCAGGTGAGTGGGGAAATCAGATGGGATATATTTATAAACACCAGAATCTGGAACTGTGATAACAATCTCCTCTGAAAATAGGACAAGCCAGGGGACAATTCACTCACAGACCTGTGAAAAAGGATCTATCTGAGCAGTGGAAAAGTTGGCCCTTTCTCTAATGGTATGGTTTCAAGGCATTCACATTTGGGGATGCTCTTAACTTCCCTCATGGACAGCATCCACAAGTTCACTACAGCCACTCATTTTTCCCAGAGAAATTTGGATGGTATGTTCAGAGACAACATCCAAAAGAAAAATCCTTAAATCCCAAGCCACTCTGTATTTTTTTCAGTACCCTATTTGACAATAAAATTGGAGGAGTGAATCTTACCAGCCTCAGTGCCAGATTTCAGGTGAGGCCACTGAAGATTTGTTAGAACTGAACACCTGTTTCTGAAGACTCATACAAATAAATGCATATAAATACATTCCCAAGCAGGCTCTGGAATACACATGGGGCTAAAGGCATCCTGCTGCAACTAAAAAAGGCTGGTCTTGATGTTCCAGTGGCCACTGTGATGTGTTGAGCTGCCCAGGTAAGGATGGGTTACAGCAACTGCTCCTCCCTGGCTGTAATGGACTGGACACCGTTCTTTTGTTACAGCAATTCTCATGTTTGCAAAGCTGCTTCTGTTTGTGAACTGCAGTCCTGCACAGGCCCTGCTCTGACCAGTCACCAGTGTCACTCGGGAATGTTTGGGTAGTTTGAAATAAATTTCATCAGAAAAACCACAGGTTTCTGTAAAGGAGTACAACTGCCCTGTATTTTCTGGCATGGAGGCTCCCAGAACAGCTTCTCCTTTCTCCAGGACAGGATTAATACAGGCACTGTTGCTGAAGTGTCTGATAGTTATGTTCCATTAAATCCAAAACAGAATTTATTTCTATTCAGAGCCAATTCCCACAGCCTCAGATTCACCCATGAATTCTCCTTTCCTTTTTCCTGCAGCTCTTCTCCCCATCATATGGTGGAGACTATCCTCTAGATTGTAGAGCACCTACTTTCAATCCCATTTCATAAGCCCATGGGGCATCAGAAACCTGAAAAGAACCTGTAAAATCTCTCTCACAACCTCCATGACTGATAGCACCAGTCAGATCCAGAAACTGAGGAGGAGTGCTACCTGCCTGCACTTACACTTCAGTGTACTTGCATTTATATCAATTATATCCAGACCCTGGCTACAATTTTGCATGGACTTTTGCATGATTTGTTGCTTTTGCATTGGTCTCTGAACTGAACTTTGAACTTTTCTGAGCTGAAAATCCCTTCCTGTTACCACTGCTGGCCCTTTTCCTTGCCTGTGGTAATTTCATTTTGAATAAAGGCACACCTGGGCAAGCCTATGAAACACTCCTAAGGTTCATTTCATTCCTCTTCTCATCCGCTGAAATATTTACACATCAAAGGGAGTCTCCTTATCTAACAGGAGTTTGATGTTCATTAAAGGAGCACACAGGCAGTAACAAAGAGGGGTGCCCTGCAGCCTGGGGTGGTCAGCAGGCACTGGGGTGACAAGGAGCCTTCAGCTGCTGCCCTGGGAGGGACACACACGAGGGGCCCTGTTCTGCAGCAATGCACAGCCCAGGAGACCTGCTGTGTCCCTTGAACATTCCCCCGGATCTGGGCCTTTCTCTCTTCCAAATCAGCTGGGCTTTAGGTTTTTAAAGCACCCTGGCACTTTCTGAATCAGAGACCAAAAGAACCCAGCTTCCAGAAAGCTGTAGGTAATGACCAAGCAGTGTTCCATGGGCATCTTTGAAAAGCCCAAGTATTCCACACCCTTGCAGTGAGTGTCCATTTCCATATTCTGTCCTCTGTTCACACTCATCACCTCCTCCACCCTATAGACTGTAAAATAAACTCCTCTCCTGCCCTGCTGCACTGTTATCATCTCCACAGGCAGCTCACACTGCACTTCCTATCAGGGTGACTTACTCCAGATGTGTTTACATCTGCCTCCCCTCCGGAATGGGGGTACCACTCATCACCCCATGGACACTCTAGTCCCAGTGCATCCTGTGGGTGTGATCCCAGGCTGTGACTGCTGCAATGGCCTGGCATTCACGTCCTCCTGCTGGTTCAGTCAGGACGGTCCCCTCTGTTCCACCTGCTGCAATGGAAACAGGGCTTCTGCAGAAGTAGGTGGGCATGATCTACAACTCTTCACCCAGGCCAAGAGAAGTCTCAAGAGGTTTTCCAGCTCATGTCAAGCACCCACTGCACCATCCTGCCACCACAGCTACCCCAAAAAGAGCTGCAGGGTGCCCTGAGCCAGCCCTGGCACCCAGGAGCATTTCAGCCAGGAGTGCTCCACGGGCTGCACATGTCCATGCCAGACAGGACCCCAGGGTCCATGCCCACCCTTCTGGCTTCTGTTGAACTCTCTGGTGTTTCTCCTTGGAGGGGAATAACGCATGAGAGGCCCAAAAGTATGACATTCCCATGGACCCACGTGGCTGTGGCCAGCCAGCCACAGCCCTCTAACCTCTCATTCCCCTTAGCCTCTCAATTAGTTCTTGCCTTCTTGACAAGTTCACTCAACACTCTGAGCAATTAGAAGACAGAAGGCATCAGCTTTGTCTCAAATGATGAGCCAGATTAATCAGCTCCAGTTGCACTGAATTACCCAGACAGGGCTCACAGCAACAACCTCCAATTCAGCAGCAAAGCAGCCAGCATCCTGCTTTCACCCAGGATAATCAGCAGGGATGTGAAAGCCAGATGAATGACTAGGTGAGGGTGGGCTGCTGCCTGTCAGGAGCTGGAATATAAGTCAAAGCACTTTGAAATTAAATCCTCACTTTGACAGGGAACTAATGCAGAGATTTTAAAGTAGGTGTAATAAAGTTAGACAGGCATATGTGCAGCCCAGCACAAGCTGCAGTGCTTTGAATAAGTGTGCCCCAGCTACAGGAAAACGGAGTTGAAAAGACAAAGGGAATTTTGAATAGCTCCAAACCAGCTTGGCAAGATTTTAGAGATGGTAGCAAGAGGTTTTAGTAATAGACCTAAGTAACAACATTGTCAGGAGGAGATTTGGTGCAGAGTTGTGGCTGCCTGGGATCTTGGATTTCACACCAAGCAGCCAGCTCATGTTGCTCCTGGCTTTAAATTAAGTCATTTATGCCCATATGAATAGACAGAGGCATGGTGGATGGAGCACACAGAGGGATCCCCACCACATCTCTTGGCCTCGGGGTGGTTAAGCCATGCTCCTTGGATTTCCCAAGAGTTGACTTTTCCAGAGGTGAATTTAAGCCTTGCTATCTGGTGAAGCATCAGCCTCCATCTGCACATTCTAGAGCCTGCCACCAGCCGCTGTGCCTGGCAGCTCTGCACGGGGCAGCCCTTGCTGAGGTGCCAAGGGGGTTTGCAAACTCGTCCCTGTTCTGGCTCCAAATGCTGTTCTGATAGAACCCCCAGAGAGCTACCCCAGATAAAACCCGCCCAGAACGCCCTCCTTAGCTGCGAATTTTCAAATGCACTTCGGCATTTGCAGCGAATCCTCAGCAACCGGAATCTCGGAAATCACTCCCAGTCAAAGGGGTGCTTATTGAGGAAGGCAGCCTGGGCGATGCATTCCAGGCAGCGCCAGGACATCTCACAGCTCTGCTTCTTCACAACCACCAGGAAATTACCCCAAAAATCACCCCAAAAAAAAAGCGGAAAACCCCGCCCCTCCCCTCGGCGAGGTTCCCCGGTCTGTCCCCGAACCCACCCGGAGGTGCCGCTCGGTGGGTGCAGCACAAGGCGGATTCCCCGCTGCCGGATAAACTCCGAACGCCCTCCTTGCCGTCGGAACCCCCGATGCCCTCCCCGATGCCCTCTCCGGTGCCCTCCCCGCTGCCGGCCCGCCCCCGGGGGTGTCCCCGCCAGCGGGTCCCGCCCAGGGAGCGGCGGAGCCGGGGCTGCCTCCGCCCCCCGGCCCGCCCCCGGCCCCGCCGCTCCATCCCGGGACGGGCCGGCCGTGCTGACAGTCGGGCTCAGCGGCGGCCGCGGGAGCATCCCCGGGCAGCGCCCGCCGCTCCTGCCCGCGCCCAGCTGCGGCCGCGGTGCCCGGGGCGGCGGGGGCGCTGCCGGCTCCGCGCAGTCTCACCCCGCCTGCCCTCCAGGATGAGCCCGGAGTATTCTCTGCGCTCCTTGCTGCTCATCATCCTCGCCACCTTCTCGGCCAACGCCAGCAACTGGCTGTGAGTAGCCGCGGGGCGGTGGGGGGAAGGCGGGCATGCAGCCACTTGTTGGTAGCCCCCGGCGTGCGGAGCAGGTGCCTCGGGGTCGGGCAGCAGCGGGGCGCGACCCCTTTTGCAGCGATGCTGCTCGGGGCACGGGGCGCCCGTGGCCATCGCGCCGGTCCCTGTCCTCGCCGTGGCCGTGGGGCTGTAGCCCTCACCCGCAGGCAGGTGGGCGACAGGGGATGCGGACTGTCCCCAGCCGCTCCGTGGCGGTGTGTTTGTTATCGCGGATGGTGGCACTGGGGCTGTTTATCTAGCCCCCGTCCCATTTTTTGTGCTTAAGTTCTGAATCCGGATCTCACCGGGATCGCGGGTGAAAGTCGGGGCACCGGGTCGGAACGGGGCCTGGGTGTTGGCGAGATGCCACGCCAGGGCCAGCGGTCCAGGGCAGCGTTTGGCAGAGCTGGGGCGGCCAAACGTGCTGGGCCCGGGGGTCTGCGGCGAGCGGGGCTGCCGCGCCTCGGGCCCCCGTTCCCGGTGGGAGGACGGGGGTCGGGGGGCTGCTGCTCGCCGCAAGGAGCCCCATGACATCGGGAACCCGCTGAACAAACACTGAAATAATGTGTAAGGTAAACAGGGGCGGAAATCGTTCTGGAAAATTCCTACGTGTTTGCCAAGGTGGTGGGACTACTTTCTGAAGAGGACACCCCCACGTTCCCTTTCCCCGGGTCAGAGGGGATGGAGCATGACAGCGCTTTCCCACCTAACTTTGAAGGAAGGCATCGGTTCTTCCTAATAAATCTGCGCTGGTGGGAGATGGTTCTTCCCTGCTCCCCGTGTTGCCGGCTGACGGGAACTCATGAGTTCCCGCACCCAGCAGACCCGGCTGGGAGCTTGGGCCGCCTCCATCTCACCTTCATGGATTTCTGTCGGCAGGGGCAGGTACAGCACACAGGAGAAGGAATTCCCGGGGTTGTCAGCATGAAAGATCCTGAGTGTCGTGTGCCTTTCCCAACGCAGGTGCTCAGGTGGGCACACATCCCCCGCGCAAGGAGTGCTCTCTGCATCCGGATACAGCTCCTGCCTTTAGATTTTGACTCGCTGTGAGATGTGGGTGGTTTTTTGGAGGATGCTCCCCAATGCCTGGGGACAGTGCCAGGTCAGCGGCGCTCCCTGAGTGTCCTGCTGTAGGAAAAGGTGGCTGCCTGGGATGCGTTAGTGCTTAGTCCTTCTCCCCTCCTCCTTTGCCAGATGGAGCCACTTGCGTGCCACACGTCTCCAGCAACTGGTGGGTGGATCATAGCAGCTATCAAGGTGGTCTTTTAAGCTGTCATGCTTCTGGCGAAGGTATATTGGGAACTGTGGGAGTGTTTTTCCTGCAGGAAAAAGTTCTGCTGAGGAAGCTCTGTGAGATGATGGCAGATGTCTGGAGAGGAGCAGCTTCGGCTGCCGTGGGACGGGCAGAAAACGGCGGAAAGTGGGGATTTTATGAGTGAGGTTCAGCCGGCTGCCCCGCACGGATGCGCAGAGGTGCGACTGCCCTCGGTCCTCGGCGCCGCACGCAGCTGGGACAGGGTTTGGGATAGGCGGAGGGGAGATCCCAGCTAGGACAGGGTTTGGGACAGGCGGAGGGGTGATCCCAGTTAGGACAGGATTTGGGATAGGCGGAGGGGTGATCCCAGTTAGGACAGGATTTGGGATAGGCGGAGGGGAGATCCCAGCTCCAGGGAGGGAGGGGAGGGGTGATCCCAGCTGGGACAGGGTTTGGGACAGGCGGAGGGGAGATCCCAGCTCCAGGCAGGGAGGGGAGGGGTGATCCCAGCTGGGACAGGGTTTGGGACAGGCGGAGGGGAGATCCCAGCTCCAGGCAGGGAGGGCTGTGTGCAGCCGTCCGTGCTGGCAGAGCAAGGGTGGGCGCGGGGGGCTCGGCAGCAGAGAGCGGAGGGCTCATTCCTGCCAACAGGGGAGGAAAAGCAGATACATTTCAGTGCGTTTCAAAGGAAGGGGGTCAGCTTTTTTTGATGTTGCAAATGTATCATGATAAAAGGATCGTCCCCCGCTCGGTGCTTTTTATTCTTTGCCTTTAGGATTAAGACAATTCCCATTGTTTATCTTCTCACATCAGAAACAAAGGCTGCCAGAGGCAATAAACAGAGTTAGAAGGATCCCAGGAATTATCAGATATTCGAGGAATGAGTGTGCCTCGTATGTCTTCACGTGTGTGGGCTCAGCATGCTCAGTTATCCCAGGGCACTGCCAGCTTGGGCCGGCACATGGGAGGGACCCAGCCTGGCCAGGCACACAGCTCTGCACAGAGGTGTGTGCACGGAATGGCAGCCCACGGTGAAGTTTGCTTTTCCAGAAACCTGCTGGATTAGTGATTAAGCTCAGTTGTGAGCTTTTTTTTTTTTTTTTTTTTTTTCTCTCCCCCTAAAGCTCTAAAGCTTCTTTCAACCTGTACAGACTCGCAGTCCCCCGGTGCTTTGGAGAGAGAGATGCTGCTTGCAATGCTTGAGCAAAGCCAGGGTTTCTGTAAGCCTGGCTTTGTGGGGAAGGCGCTCGTTTTAGCCAAGCAATGGTGTCTGATGAGCTGCCCCATCCAGTAGAAAAAGGAGATGATGTAGGGATCTCTCAAAGGGATCACTCTGCTACAAGTGGCCATTGAGCTGGAAGGGATTTCCCAAATCTTTTCATTAAACAAACCAAGCTACTTTCTCCCTGATTAGGAAGCAAACCTCAGGTGTTGTTTTCTCAGTGTCTTGAGTTTGGGGAGTTGCTGTTTGGCTTGTTGCCTATCCAGAAAGCCTCTGTTCTCCAAATCTGAAGAGATGCTCTGTTCCCACTTCTTGTGAAAGCCTCAGGCTTGCTCTTCCTTCTGCCTTTGGAGGCTCAGATTTGCCTCCTGCCTCTTCAGAAAGAGGCTTGTAAATTAAATAAAGGCTGTAGATAGAGCCTTTTACATCTTGTTGGCTGTGCACAGGAAGGTCCCTCTGGCTTCTGCTTTATGTCTGAAGGAGTCCAGGGCCATGCTTTATACAGGGGAAGCAGATGAGTTACTTTTCAAAACAACTTGCACTTCGTAGACTCTGGAACCCACATGTGCAGTGATGTGGTAGAATTTGGAAGCAAGGCCTCTTCTCCTCCAAACCCATCCTGATGCTGAGGGTGTTTCACAGAGACTTTTAGCCAAACAAGCATCATTCCACAGCTGGCACAGGAGTGCCAGGCTCTGGTTTCAGTCCAGTTGTTGAGTTAGTTAGTTATTCATTTATTTACCTATTTTGGAGAGAAGCAAGTCCATGAAGAAGTGAACTAGAAAATGTGCAAAGTGGGTTGTGGATGTAAGCATCCACTAAATGCATGAGGCACTGGGGCCCACTGCCTTGCTCTCCAACTGTTCAGAAACTTTGAATGATGAAAGAACAGAAACAGAAAACATCAGATACAACAGGGTAGGGTCCTTTAGAGGTGAGACCCCTGGTTATCAAACTCTCTGGGAATCATTACAACCTCTCTCCATTTTCTTGCAGCTCAAACTGGCTCTGGAGGAGGCTCTCCATATGGACATGCTTGGTCTGAGATGTGGTTATGCCATTTTAGAGCAGGGTGTACCACCAGCAGCTTTGTCTATCCCTTCTTTACAGGGATTTAAAATTTCAGTCTGGGCTTGGGACTTGGCTTAAAGGGCCAGGAGCACAGATGGGCTTTTAAAACTTGAAAAAAAAATTAATTTGAGTGCTCTGAGAAAGCTTGAAGACACTGTGAGGGTCCAGACACGTCTGGCTAAGCAGCTGCTCTTTAACCACTTTCAAGGGCTGGTGAGGAAGGGATAAAAGGAGTTTGGACTTCCCTGGCCTCCTTTCATCTGAACATTACAAGGTGCTTTGCAAATAGAGGGCCCAATTCTCTGTGCCCATCTCTGCCAGCTTAGGAGTGGGGATGTTGCAGAAGCAGTTCCTTTTGTTTGGGTCATTATGCAATGCAGAGGATTTCAGAGGAAGCTTCCCTGGATCCTGCATTTGCATCCTTCTGTTTTAAACCAAGCTTTATTTTTTCAGGTGAGTCTCCACATTTTTGATAGTGGGGAGAGATCACTTCACCTGGAGCTGGCATAGTTTAATTTTGTACAAGGTTCTTGGCATTGTCATTGCAATGCTCCTGTCTTGCACCTGGTGGAGAACCCATCAGCATTTTCCCTTCAGATGCCATGGCAGGTGCAGCTGGCTCTAATACAGAGCTGTTCCTGCCAGGCTCTGCTCCCCTCTCCATGCTCTTGGTTTTTGCTGTGAGGACAGTGTCAGGAAAGCTCCCCAGGCACATCTGTCCCAGCAGCCAGGAGGGTGGGTTGCACCATTTGGGTCTGATGAGGAATTTCCTTACCTGGAGGGGTGCTGTGGGTTGGACAAGTGGCTCTCCACTCCTGGGATGCTCAGGGCTCCTTTGCACTGCTCTGGGGGTCCTGTCACATCCAAAAGGTTGGTGCATGAACTCAAGGAACCCGTTACCAAGGCTGTGAGCTGGGAAATTGAAACTGCTGGAAATATATTTTAACTTTTATTTATTTGTAGGTCTTGCCACTTCTGACCAGCTAACACCAGCTAATTTTAGCTCAGTGATGAAAATGGACTGGTTGTGGTTTGCACCCAGTGATCCTGGCACTGGATTTCCAAACAAGTTTGGCTTGTCTCTGAGCAGTGGTCCTGTCTGGCAGGCATCTTTCAGGGCTGTGTTTGCCAGGGTGTAGGAGGGCCCCATGCTCTCCAGCTCCTCAGTGGTGATGGGCATTTCTGTCCTTTCCTAAGAAAGCCTCAAGTAAAATTACACCCCTGTCTTTCACAGCAGAACCTAAGTCTAGGGAGGATGGATAGGAGGGAGATAAAACCACTCTGCATGCCAGGCTGTGAAGAACTGGATAAGCTCCAAATATGAGCCACAGCAAGAGGCAGGTTTCTTTTTTGCAGTGGCTTGATGTGACTCCATGAATCAGAACTGCACTTTTGCATTGAAGCAAAAAAGTG